TCATTTTTACAATAAAACGGGGTCTACAATAAAAATCATAGAATCGTAAATTGTAAAAATTGACCTATCGCGGTAAAGTATGAGAAGAATAATTGATCGCGATTGGTCAATTTCTACGATTTACGACTTTACGATTTCTATTATAGACCCCGCTTAAGTGTTATGAGTCGTAAGTCGTAGAAATTGATCAATCGTAATCGAATATTAAAAAAGAAACGACCGCAATTGATCAATTTCTACAACGTATGACACACGACGCTTAAACTAGCGACGACGGTGCTTATTTTCGTGTTGGACTGCTTGCTAAACGGCAATACTCTGTTCTGATTAGTGCGTTTCTGAAGATGGATGGAAATGCATCAATCAAAACAGAGTATTTCCATCCAGCAAGCAATCTAGCATGAAAACAAGCACCGTGTGCTGCTTACTTTAGGCCTATTAGGGTCTGGGCAACGATTACGTAACTTCGAGCGGAACTTTTCACTTTTCACTTTTCGCTCATTTTGATTCTACGTGAATTTTTTCATGAATGACAACAATTATGTATTTAGAGATGCGAAAAGTGAAATCATTAAATCCAAAACTTAAAAAGCTTAATGTTGTTAAAACCTTCAAAATTATAAAATGTGATAATTAAAATATGTTTTTTGTACATATGTATACAAAAATATAGTACTTAAAATATATAGTTTGCGTCATATATAGACTTTTAGTACTGGTATTGAATATCGAAAAAGTCTTTTATCTGGAAGATAGCTATTGAAAGGTGTCAAGAAACCGGGTATTAAGTAAATCTTGAATTGAAGCGGATGAAGTCTTTTCCGCGACGCTAATTGCTCACATTGTACAGAAGTTTTCAAAAAGATTTTAAAAAAGTTTCAAAATTTTCAGTAGTCTTTAAGAAACATTGAAATTTTTCTGAAAACGTTTTGAAACCTTCTGTCCTGTGTGGGTGATTGTTCGTCGTGGTTAGATTTGTGCTTCTTGTAGTTGTCAAATCAGGTTGTGTTCGCGTCATATGAATTTGATATTTATTGTAATCTTAGTAAACACAATGTTACATATAACATACATGTTAGTTGTAATTTCTTACTCAACAAATAATATAACTGTTATATACATGTTATATAATAGTTACATTGTTGAATAGGAAATTACAACTAACATGTATGTTACATGTAACATTGTGTTTGCTGGGAATATAATTTGTAAAAACGAATATTGTAATATAAATTGTAAATAGTACAACGAAAAAGCTAAAGTGACGCGCGCGAAGCGCGCGCTATGTGGTGTTCTAGTAAATTAAAAAAATAAGTTCCGCGTCAAGTTAATTTTGCGACTTTTTGTTGATTGTCCTAATAAAAGAAAAATTTTCGGTAATTTTATAAGTGTGCTGAATCGATCACAAATGTTATTTTGTGAGTATGTCTTTTTATGTGAACATATAACGCAAGAATTCTTGACATGCATTTTCTCGCTTCTGACTATCATTAAAGGACAATCACAGCGACTCAGGAGCCGTAAAGCGCATGAGCAGAAAGGAGGACTGTACATACTCCATTTGTACATAACAACTTGACCGCTTTATACATAATAAGTTAGCAGTCTAGTAAGGTATAGAAGTCTGTGCGTGGGACCATTAACGGATCCCACCGCTGTCACCAAAAATTTGTTACGTCCCTGCTCGGGCCTTGGAGCGGGGGCACGATCGCTTGGTTTTTGGATCGCTGAACTGTGTGGCTCTACCCGGGGAATATACGATCTAAGGGTCCCGATGGTATTTCGTTTAGTTATCTGGGTTCTATTACCGATTTCGAGTTATCGACTTCGAATTACCGACTTCGAGTTACCGACTTCGAGTTACCGACTTCGAGTTTTATCGACTTCGAATTACCGACGTTGAATTACCGACTTCGAATTACCGACTTCGAGTTACCGGCGATAGTCGGTCATCGAAAGTGGCGCGCAAAAGAAAATAATTGCGAGGTAATTTGAACTTACCGGTGCGCCGTGCATTTGGTCAGTTGAATGGCGTTCCCCAGGTGAGAAGTGATCCCAGGTGGTTGCTGCAAGCTCCTGGTGGCGGTGGCCTTACTCCAGAATGATTACCTCAGGTTCCTGGTGCCAGTGGTCGGGCGTGGCGCTCCCGTGCGTATACAACAGCTCCGCTCAGATTTCCATATATCGTTACCTTCGTGGGTCACTCTCCGGAATATCAAGCGGAGGCAAGTTTGGATACGGCGTCGTCACTTTGGTGAGTCGGTAGGATTGTTGGGAACGGGATGTAGCGGGGATTCTATTCCGATTAAAGTGTTATCACTTGCGCGTACGGGCGCGTATAGTCGATTGTATAAGCGTCGCTGGACCTTGCGTCCGGCACGGCGTGTCCTAGCCATAAATGCAATTTCTAGTAGTTGCTCATATCAGCCGCGTACGCAATTCCGCTCTTGCAAACTCTGAACGGGGAGCACAATGACGGCTCTAGTCGCCGCTCAGCGGATTACAAGGCAGAGACTGTAATTTGGTAGGGAGCGCAAGTACGGCTCTAGTCGCTACTCGGCAAATTACAGTGCAGTGGCACAGAGAACGATGCACAGACGGCGAGCACAAGGGACGGCTCCGTGCCTGCCTTGCGTTTCGTTACCTGAGGCCGGAAGGGCTAAACCCGGAATGTCGGAGGATCCGCTCGCAGGTCAAAATTGCATCACTGGCTTCACTAGCTGCACCGTTTTGGACGCGTGGAATTAGGGAAGGTTCGAGAATAAGACTATTTTAGAGTGAAATATTAAGTTAACAAGGAAATATTTCTACTTGATTGTTACACGTATCATTAGATTACTAATACAGGTTGAATGTTCTTGCCACGATATGAATTTACTTGCAACATTTTAATCAAAGTAGTAATAGTGTACATTTACGTTGGTTGAACGCGAGCTCTTATATTATAACGTTAAATTTAGATGTAGTATACGAGAATATTCTAAGGTTGGATGTAAGTTAACTAGAAGTAGTAGAGATATTCTAGAGTGCGGGAGTTGGAAAGATAGGTACTTGCACTAACGTATGGATCCTAAATAGGGATGAGTGTACTGTTCACGTCGTGTAGTAGGTAGCACAACCGACTTGTAGGACTCCCGGATTAAGACTGACTGACTGCGTTTTGCGCAACGCCTTATAAACCCTTTGGATCCGAGGAAGGAGTTTCCCCCGGAAGGGTTGAGAAAACATCTGGACGATTCCGGAAGGAATCTCGAAGGTTCTCGAGGGTTCTGGAAAAGTCTGGAAGGATCCCAGGATTCGGGAAAGTTACCTGACCTCAGGGAGTGGGGAAGGTCTTCCTTAGCGGAAGGATCGAGAGGCCTCTAGAAGATTCTGGAAGGTTCTCGGTTATTCGGGAAGGGTCTGGAAGGATCTCGAGAGTTCGGGAAAGTTACCTGGTCTCAGGGAGTGGGAATGGCTTTCCTTGGTGGAGGGGTTGGAGAGGCAGTAGGGATGGTTTACGTTCCACCTAACGAAGTGGCGCTCGCGTCGGCGGGCTTAAGGCCCGTAGTGATTTACCTTCCACCTAACGAGGTGGCGCTCGCGTCGGCGAGCTTAAGGTCCGTAGTGACTTACCTTCCACCTAACAAGATGGCGCTCGCGTCGGCGGGCTTAGGGCCCGCAGTGACTTACCATCCACCTAATGAGGTGGCGCTCGCGTCGGCGTTCGTATGGTTTGAAGAAAATAAAATTAGCGGGATAGCATAATCGCGGCGGACGTGACAAAAGCCCTGCCGAGCTTACCTGTACCCGCCCCGCGTCACTTTTCGGCGCCTGACGCCCCCTTGACGTTTGGCAACCGGCGCTCGCTCTCCAACTAGAGCGTCGAGTACGCAACAACTTATATCGCATGAAATCAATTTTAATATGACACTTTTGTTATTTTATAAATATTTGTGATGCCTTACGTACGGGTTCAACGACGATGGTCTCGTTAGCAACCGTTTCCGCACTGCAAATACTGTCGGAATCCGATAGGTCGGCTTCCGATGTTGGAGCATTATTACAGCCTAAAATTTATTTTAGCGTTACATAATTTACCCGATAAAGCACCTTAAATCCGCTACTCCTCTCTCGATTTGTACTTACGTGAAGTCGCCTAATTCGTGTAAGGCGGTTCCTCCGCGAGGCGTTTACGACCCCGTGGAAGAAGCTCAAGCGCCTCCCGTTACTGATACCGACAGATGCGAGAGTCGGACTTATGAAACGATAAAACAATAATTATTCTAAAAATTCGCGTAAATTACAAAGTTTTAGTTTTCGCTATAAAATCTATATGATTTAACTTACCCGTTGTAGGATATCACGTCGGCGATAATATCCCACACGTCTTCGATGTTCTCCTCAAAATCTCGTCGAAATATCAGAATTTCTCTGATTATTTTCATTAATTTCGGATCACCCCGAAATTTCTCGCACTTTCCCAAAAGCGCTAGCAGCGTGCTGCTACAAGCGCATGCGAAAGAATAAAATAAAATATAATTTTCCGCGTCAAATATCGAACGCTATTGATATTCACGTTGGCATTTGAAGTCGTAATGATGAACTCGCATACTAATTTACCGACTTGCGACATTGTAACGTGTCTAACGGCGGAAAACTAACGGTGGAAAATGCGAAACCGGAGTTTTCTCCTCACATATATACCCCCAAAACCTCACTCCTCTCTCCCCTAGGACAAAACGCTTCTCCAAAGAGAGAGAAGGACGGATTTTTAAAATTATTAGGGTTTATCGTCGAAAATACGCTTGGTAACATCGAGGTGGGGGCGGACGATTTTATACGTTTTCAAAGTTATTTTTTCTACCACATGTGCGTGCAGAATGCGTGGCCATTCGCCGACAAAAGAACGATACGATGCGTATCTAGTGACGCGCTTCCTCTAGGAAAATGATTTTTTTTGCCAGAAGTGGGTTCCGGCCGCATCTTCGACGGTAATTCTCGGGTTGAGTCGGAAGACGCGGGGAGTGAAATACCGTTAGCTATTTTTCGCTTGTGCCCGGCTGTTACGATAGACAGCTAATTCGCGACATATTCCAAATATGACTGTTTATATACCGCTCTTTTTTAAAGGCTCCGCTTCATAAGAACGTGAGAACACTTGTTTTTGACGCGTGTCTTTCGCCTCCGGCGACATGATTCCCGACGCGCATCTTGAAATGAGCACGGTGTCTGCACGGCTTCTGCACGCGTGCCTGCCCGGGTTGCTTTTTTTTTTAAACCTGAATTCGGAAACAATCAGACGCGTGGAAAAGCCTGAGACAAAAACGCGAGCACTTAACATACAAAGGAGGGGTTAACTTAAAAGCGGCCGCTATAGAATATTATCGACAGTCGCGGCAAGCCGTTGCGCTTAACTCGGGAGCGGAGTCGTACCGGTCATTTCCCCGTACTTTTTTGTTTTCCATTTATAGCATCTAATCTATTTATATTATCGTATTTTTACTTTTACGTAAATTTTTTTTGATGTTTCCCCGTATAGCATAGAGAAGTAGACGACGTAGACCGCTTATTTCTATGCGAAATTTGATGCGTTTGTAGCGGACGGTCTAAAAGGCCATAGCACGCCTATTAACGTTAGTCTTTTATTTTTGTCGTGCCAGCGTCGCTCGATGCGCCGCCAAACATCTATTGGGATGGCCACGTTAACGACTGCACTCCCGGGTTAAGAAATACCGCGAGATGAAGAAAAGCCTGAAATATGAACGTGACGGCTAACATTCAAAGGACGTGGAGTTTCCGGTATAAAATATTATTGTCGATCGCGATAAACTAGCACGCTTAAAGCCCCCTGCATTTGTTCCCCGACGTTAGAAAATTCCAGAAAAATACTTCCTAGAAAAGCGCTTCAGAGAAGTGTAACTAAAAAATGTTATTAAATAAATATTTTTGGTATGCGTATACTATTCTCCTCTATGCATTTTTCACACTCTCGAGACCCTATAAAACCGCTCTTGGTCACTCGCGGGCTTCATACGCTCGGTAGTGCTCCGATAGTCATGTTTCGCTGTTACGAAAAGTTGACGTTTGTTAAAATTATTCACGGGTTATTCGAGGAGCGACTGTCGTAAGAAATATAATGGCCGCTAACAACGCGAAGCGGAATATCGAGAAGGCCGGATGTAATAACGCCCGCAGTGACTTCACAAGTAACCGAAACTTTAATCGAAAGGGAAACATGTTACTGTCCACAACATACGCTTTAAACAATTCGGATACGAAGAGTGTGAAAGTGGGGCTGCAAGAAAACGACGCCGGGAGGTACGAAGCGGCGATAAAACTAATCGGAAATTCGGCGGATTATATCTACCTCGAACTCGAAGCGTGGCAGAAGTTTCAAGAGGAATTTGACCTCGTGCATTCTTACTTGCGCGGGGATGATAAAATTACACCACAACCCTTGATCCTAAAGAACGCAAGTATTTATTTGACCACCACTTACGGCTCAAGAGCAATAATGGTAACACATAATCGCGAGGCAGAAGAAGAAGAAGAGAAAGCCACGACGGAGGATTCCGAGACGACGACGGAACCATCGAAGAAGAAGAAACACAAGACCTACTCGCCGTCGATAGCGATGCAGAAAATCACGTCAGCGCATATTGTCGACACTTTATAACTTTTAATCCGCTTGAGAGCGACGCTTTTTCTTGCAGAATCATATTCTACGATCAAAATATACGATCTGACAAATCGGTGAGGAGACCTCTTTGTTTCATAATTACTACTATTTTGAGGAATTATTTTGACATCATAAATGTAATTTTAATATGTTGACATACCTGAGATATCTTAAAGATATCCTTTTTTGATACCATTTTGACATCTTTCTGTGATATCTTTCTGTCCTCAAAAAACGGCATTAGATAATATTTTGTTATCGTTTCGACAGATTTTCGAAACCTCTTCATGTTATTAGATTCCAGATTCAGATATCTTTTAGAGATGTTTTTGATAACTTTTTGCCCAGTGGGTAATTACAACCATTTTTAGTAACATTTAATTAATTTCATTATATTGAATACTTAAAACTTTTATATGTTATTTTATATGTTATTTTTCAACAATACTCATTATCTTTCATTATCTTTCCTTATATTTCATAATATTACATTAAATTTCATACTGAAAGCTATGATTAATTTCGATTTATGTTAAATTATTATTCAATAATAGTCATTTTCCGTTTCATCGATTTCAACATAACTTGCATTTGCGACTAATACATAATGAAACTTTAAATGAAACTTAGAACTTGAAATTGGTTATTATAAATAAACTGACACTAATCAAACTATTTGATCACAGATTTGTATTCGTTTTACACTGTGTGCATGTGAAAGTACACCATTTAATAGCGTACATATGCTATTTAATTAAAAAATCTACGAAACGACAGAATCTGCGCGCAATCTGTCGCCAATCTGCCGTCAAAGTTTGTCGGCAGGCTCTGCGCGCAGTCTGTCACCAATCTGTCGTCAGATTCTGTGTACAATCTGTGTCTGTTGCCATTCTATCAACAGACACTGTTGACAGACTCTGCGCAAAATCTACTCGCGCAAGTTTTGCTATCTGGGTACTAGATACTTATGCCTATTATATTTTTTGGCCCTAGTGAAAATAACTCGTACTGACTCCAACTCGAATTATCGTAAACACCTATTGTCGGTTGTCGTATAAAGATGTCGGCAGTTGTAAGCCGACCCCCTGTAAGCCGACAAAAGGCAGTTGTAAGCCGACAAAAATAATAAGTTTCATAAACGTTTGTTTAACGTTTACGTAAGCGTTTGCAGGAGTTCGTTGAGAGTTTAGAAATTGTCAGAATTCGTAAAGCGGAAATAGCAACACTACAGCGTTTGAAAGACATTTGTATACAGCGTTTTTGAGACTTTGCAGGCGTTTGCATGGCGTTTGCATGACGTTTACTTTTCCTACACAGCACCGACATATTTTCAGAAAACTTTTAAAAAGTTTTCAATAAAATATAAAACATTTAAAAGAAATATTTCAGACATATCTTTTAAATATCTTTTAAAAATATATTTTAAAGATATCTTTCAGATACATAAAATGTTCGCTATAATGTACTATTTAATATGTATCTAAAATATTATTCAAAGTTTCAAAAATATATGAGAAATATTTCAGATACCTTTTTTTTATATACAGAAACTATTTATATTTTTATATTTAGGAACTATTCCTAAATGTCATAGTGTTTACTGATTTTACTTGAAAATTTTACTTGATTCCAATATTACATCACATATAAAAATTCTCACTGGCACTAAGGGTGACTCGAACTTGGACCGACTGGCACCTTTGGATTATGAGTCTGTTGCTTTAAACACTACTACTGTGTCCAAAAAGTAAGGTGACATTGCATTTATTTCGAAAATTCTTTATTTATTCTTGCAAATCAATTTCGTCCCCTTCAAAGTAATCCCCCCCTGATATAATACACTTATTCCAACGGATTTTCCAATCTTCGAAACAGTTGTAATAATCGATTTCAGGAATGGCCTTTAGCTCCTTCTTCGCAGCGGCTTGAATCTCTTCTATCGACTCGAAACGGTGTCCCCGGAGCCAGAAGTCGCATGGAGCCAAATCAGGTGAATACGGTGGTTGTGGAACGATATTAGTCGAGTTTTTGGCTAAAAAATCACGAATAATCAGCGCAGTGTGTGACGGTGCATTATCGTCACACAGTTAGCCGCTGCGAAGAAGGAGCTAAAGGCCATTCCTGAAATCGATTATTACAACTGTTTCGAAGATTGGAAAATCCGTTGGAATAAGTGTATTATATCAGGGGGGGATTACTTTGAAGGGGACGAAATTGATTTGCAAGAATAAATAAAGAATTTTCGAAATAAATGCAATGTCACCTTACTTTTTGGACACAGTAGTACATCACTTCGATTGATATAAACGTCTTATATTTGGTCTATAAACTTTCTTCATGAAAGCGTTTCTTGCGCGTTCCGAAGCCGTTTGCATAAACGTTTTACAATTCATTAATTTTACAATAGCCGCATTGGAAGAGCTTTTGCTGAACGGAGAAAAAACGCTTATCTTACGGCGTTGGGAAAAACGTTTCTTAAACGTTTGAAAAGTCTGACAGCAAGTCTCTCTATATGAAGATGTATCAATATTCACTGAGCGTACTTTAAAAAGCGTTGCTTCAGCATTACGAAATATTATAAACTTTCACGAAATATTATAAAGTAAAAAAAAGAAGCCAAGTGCACGCGCTTTGTCGTATTGTTTTAAAATTTACAAAAAAGCTTTACATAAAAAATTACAACAAAATCTGATTAAAAATTTAAACAACATAAGAAAACTAAAAGCAGCTAAAACATATTTTAAAAATTATTATTTAAACAATCTTTTTGCCCGATCAATTGTACATTCGAAAATACTTTACTGAAAAATACAATAAAAAAAAACATTTTAAAATAATTATACTAAAAAGTTGTTACTCAGAAAAATTGTCATTACAAAAAATATTAAAGAAGCAACTGAACAAA